TAAGAAAAATATTAAACATAGTGCCTCATGAATTTCTTGGGGACCACATAGAGACATGTGGTTATAGGATGGATCACAAGGATATTCACAATAAACTGATGTCTCACTGATGAAGTTTCCTGGTAGTTTGACAATAGCTGTCCTTGTCCAAACTTATATCAATGAACAAGAAAATGGAGAAAATAGGTAGAGTGGACATCTGTTACTTTGGCCTGGCTAGCACTGTTGCCATCTCCCCTCCCTCCCCCGATCCCCTGGCCACACACACATTGGTAAAAGAACCCTTTCCTCTGGTGGGGATTCCATTCCATTTGGTTTTGTGTGATAAACTCAACTCCTTCTACCACTGGAGTCTGCTCCTGACCCAGGCTTCGCCTGAGTGCCTGTCAAGTGATTGGTTTCTGGACAGTCTGTGATCCAAGGTGAGTGTGCTGTAAGTCCTGCGGAGAACTGTCCTGCTGGGGAATAAGCTCTTTCGCTGCTGGGGCAAGTAAGCTTGTAGGAGATGAGTCTTACACTGCTGGTGGCCACGATGCTCGAGAAGATGGTTAAGCAATAAGAATAACAGTAGACATATTTATAATGATTTTTTTAACCTTAGTTTTGCACTTGTATCTGTCATGCTTTAAAAAGTGCTTCACACAGTTCTTAAATGCTCAGATGTATTAGAAGTTTGGTAGCTTAACCTTGAATATTCAGAAAGTGATCAAGAAAGTCCTGATAATATTTCAAGTGATCAAGATTCCCTTTTTTGTAAAACTGCGTCACATAATAACTATTAAAAATCCGAATATTATAGAAATATACCTTTCATTCATCAATCTCAGAGCACCTATGAAATAATAATAAGCTGGATAAAAAAATGAGGCAGTAATCTCTGACCAAAATATCATAGTCAAACATATATACATAACATACTTTTGTTGACAAAGGCAGTAAAAGAAATACAAAGGCCACTAAAAAGGATGGAAGGAAGGAAGGAAGGAAGGAAGGAAGGAAGGAAGGGAGGGAGGGAGGGAGGGAGGAAGGAAGACTATTAAGTCTTCATGGAATAATAGTCTTTGAAGATCTAACTACTATAGAGCCATATTCCATAGAAATGTCCGAGTTAAAGACATGAGGCAGTTTCTATATTAAATGAACCCCAATAAACCCTGGAGAAATCATATTTTTCAAGTGCTCCTTTAAGGATTGATTGAGCCCTGTACCCAGGAATGACCAGTGTGCCATATACCAGGCAAAGGTGAAACAAACAGTCATTGCTTCGATAGAGCCACATAGATGGAATTAAACTCATTCAATATGAGTTTGAAATATTTTTAGTTTTTACTTATACTTAGCTTGTATTAAGTTCCTAAAAGAAAGAGACCATAATGATTTCTTTTTTTAAAAAAATATATTTTATTGATTTTTTACAGAGAGGAAGGGAGAGAGACAGAGAGCCAGAAACATCGATGAGAGAGAAACATCCATCAGCTGCCTCCTGCACATCTCCCACTGGGGATGTGCCCGCAACCCAGGCACATGCCCTTGACTGGAATCGAACCCGGGACCCCCCAGTCCGCAGGCCGACGCTCTATCCACTGAGCCAAACCGGTTACGGCCATAATGATTTCTTTTATGTCTCCCTGCAATATACAGTTTAATGCTAAACAGTACTCCTTTAATAATTAACCTCCATAAGAGCTCAACAGACTTTTTCCTGTGTATGTGGTTTGATAGGTTATACTGGCTCCCATTTTAATCTTAAGGCTTACATTTACTTAATTACTGCTGACTGGTTCCCTTCACATTTCAGGTTCCCAGCCTCTGCTGAATCCCACCGGTCACTCTCTAAGCAGTCCGTTTCTTGATCAGCTTCCAAACCACCGTCATTTAGATTTACTTTCTGCTTAGAAACCGCTCCATATTTTTTTTACTATTTTTACTTCAAGCTGTCAACTCATTCAACAAATATCCTTGCTTGCTGATTTTGAGAGAAAAGAGAGGCAAACTCCAACTTTCCATATACATGTTTTAGCTCCAGAAGTGTTTTCATGTTTATCCCTCCCTCTCTCCCTAGCCTCAGAGGAAAAAAATCCCTGGCCCTCCCTCCGATAAGCCGCCTGTCATGTCTGTTCCCCTGCCCTGCTCATGATCTGCCATGGCAATGAGCTTTCCCTCCAGTTGTCAGTTTCCCCTTCTTTGTCTTTTTTTATCCACAAGCAACGAAAACAAAACAAGAAACCAACCAGCCTTCCTTCCTAAGTGATTATTTCTCTCTGCATTCTCCATTACACTTCTTGAGTAAAAATAACTGTTCTTTGTGTGCGATACTGTGCAACTGCTTTACATTCATCATGCCATTTAATTAAATCACACCATAATCCTACACAGTATTTATCCCTATTTCACAGACGCAGCAGAATTGAGTAAGTATCCATGACTCAGCTGAAGTCCACCGGAGAGTAGGCTGGTAGAGTTAGGATCATGCTCTATACCAGTAGTTCCCAACCTAGGCCCTAGATCAGCTGCATCAGCCACCTCTGGGAACTTGTTAGAAATGCAAATTCTCAGATCCCACCCAGATCTATTGTAACAGAAACTCTGGGTGTGGAGCCTAACCATCTGTGTTTTAACAAGCCCTTCATGTGACTGACGCACACTACCGTTGGGGAACCAGTGCACTAGACCACATCGCTCCTCCGGTCTCATTCTATCTGTCTTCTCTGCAACACAGGCAGTTTGGTACTGTTTTCTTTTGAAGCTTTCTTTCAAATAGCAACTCCAAACTGCCCAACACCGGTTCTCTATCAAAATTATCTCTTTCACTGGCTCTCCCACTATACCTAGTTACTAAAACATTGATTGGTAGCTTTGTCTCCCAAATCTCACGGATGTTCCAACCTCAGTGCTTACTCCCTGGAATCCTGCTCTTGTTGACTTAAGGTGTCAGTGCCCAGCCATTCACCTGTGCCAGGCATGTATCTAAGTGAAGTTGCTCTCTCACACTCTACATTCCCCATTTAGCTGGCTAACCTAGTTTCACTAATTTATCTCTACAGCAATCCTCAAACCTGCCATTATTGTCTGTTCCCAGGCACACTGCCAGACCATTGGAGGCTGGATTATAACAACAGCCTACCTGCCTGGAACTGCTCTTCTTTCCAATACCCTCCCAAATGCTTCCAGTTATCCTTCCAAAGAGTAGGTCTGAGCATGCCATTCCCACTTAATATTTAAAAAAATTAAAAACTAGCAATATTTTAAAAAGCAAAAACAAATCAGAATAAAACAAACAAAACCCCCAACTCCAATGGCTTCCCATTGCTTAGAAGCTGAAGTTTAATATCCCATCCTGACCTGGTAACATGGCACTGAAGCCAACCCTCTCCTGTCTCCTCTCCCACCACCGCTTCCAACTGCAAAACCTTTCTTGCTCCCCTCTACCCTTTTGCTTCATCTAGGCAAAATGTACCACTTTCTCTTTTTGTAGCCCAGGCTGAAATACCCATCCCTAACCATATGCTCATCACTTATTTAATCAACATTAAAGGTGTCACAAACTCATGGGCAGGCAAAATGAATGAATCAAGTCTACCAGGTGTAATAAGATCACAGGTCCCACCTAAAAGGGGCAGCATCTACGCAGGACTGGAAAATTGTTGCCAAGCTAGTATAGCTGGCAGAAATTCAGGGCTTCTCAATATTAAAAGTTTGTAGCAAATATAAAAAAGAAAAAAATCTAAAAACTGGTCTGTGTACCACTCTGTGTCTAAAAAAATGAAATACCACTTTAGGTGGTCAGTGTGAACCTTAATGTCAGTTGCACTAGGTCTTAGGGCTTCACAGGCGACTGGGTGGCTCTGAGTGGCTCACTCTGGGCGATCAGCTCAAATGCTAGCACAGACAGGAGTAAACAGGCCCTCCACTCAGTTCTCACAGCACTTTTGTTTACAGGCACCTGCCATAGTTTATGCTCATTGCTAAGTGCTTGATTTTTTGAATCACCAGATCCTGAAGGAGGAGGGCTGCCGGCCTCCTCTTGGTGCGGGCCCCGCCCGCTCATTGGGCTAATAGCAGATGCTTAATTATATCTATAGAGAGGAGTCTGCATATCAACTTGATCCCAAACTTTAAAGTTACTTTGTACTTTTTCCCCTTCCTAACTTGATATTATGCTCCGGTTAGGCACCCTGCTGTAAAATATGCTCTCACGTCTCCTTTGCAAACCTAAATATGCTTTGAGTTATCATATTTTAGTTGTAGGACATAATCTCCTAATATGTTTGTCTACACATATTCCTTGCAAGATGGCGGTCAAAATAAGGACAGTGTAGAGATATCTTTGGCGAATTCAAGAAATTATTTTAGCCTAGATCAGGAAATAAGGAAAATGTGTTCATTTGTTCCATTGGTTAATTTCAGGGTGCAACTTTCCCCCAGTTAACAAAAGCACTAAAAATGCCAGCTTTAATTTTTGCCATGGTTCTTTAATTTCTAGTTGTGCTATCCAAGCATGCTCACCAAACTACCTTATTGCCAGACTTAGAGGATGTCAGTCATTTTGCAGTGAACCAAACCGCTCTCATTTCACTAAGCACCAGACCTATGAGGGGGCTGCCTGAACACTGCTACCTGTGTCACTCCTCATTTGATCTGATTTCTGGACACAGCCACGGTCCAGGTATGAGCACAGGCCCTCCATGGCTGCCATCTGCAAAGTTTGTAAACATCCATTCTGTTGAACAAAAATATGTTTTTGCAGTCACTTAGGTGTTCTCATAACAAAGGAGGGTAAATATGTCTTCCCTACCTGTATAACCAGCAGGCTAGAAGCCCAGCCCGATTTCCGGTGTTAGAGATTTAACCCCCATCATTCTACTCTACCACTCTGCATGATGTTATTACGTGCACACATTCACCTGTGTGTGGACACTTGCTTCCTTTACACTGAAACTCTATGCCATGTGTTCGTTAGCGTACATGTATGCCATCAGTAATCAAAACGTAAGGCTTACCTGCAGACTGTTGAAAATGACAAAGAGGACCAACATCCAGAAGTGTCTGTAAGCCATGTGCAGGCCTCCCCAAAGCCATGTCACAGAAATCAGGGCAAAGAGATATAAAACCAGTGGAATTTCTAGAAATCGATAAAAAAAGAAAAAAGAAAGAAATTCTGAGCTTCAGAATACTGCAGGGTCACGCATATACACAAAATTATTTCTGCCTCCTTTCTTGTGATGCTCTGTCTGCCTAAGCACCCATTTTGAAATAACAACCTTGGAAATCCCATTCTTGCGCCAGAGAAGAGAAGGCACATTGCTGAGTCCACATTCTTCCTGTTTTGCTGGTCGGTGGGGGGATGGGGAAGAATGAAAACTGTTCCTCTCCTAGACTACCACCTGCTGGACTCTTCTGGAAGCTACATGGACAACTGGAGATGAAATCACTTTTAGTTAAATTTAGGTAAATTTTAAAAGATCACTCCACTAGAAATGGCAGGCAGGCAGCAGTGTGCCTTTGAAATGAGTGTAGTCCAACTCGACATTTTAACAAAAATGACATAAAAACATGTTTGTGTATATGGAAAGGTATTTTTTTTTTCTGACTATGAAGACCCTGAACTTTATGGCCAGGGTTAAGAGCAGAGATGCGGTGACGGGATTCACTCCAGTCAGCATCTTGCTTATCCCATCCATCACTCTCCGGTGCACTTTTTTTCAATATTTCTCAGAACAGATTTCTTCAGGACCGATGGACTTGATTATCCGTCCCACTTGTTTTTGATATTTGCGCTTTAGAATAATAACTTTAAAGAGGGGATTTTAATATTTAAATGACAAGCTATATAAGCCTTGGACAGTGAATCAGATCTTAGCAGCTGCAAATAAACACATTTTCAAGTTGTTTAAAAGACTTCACTTGTCGGGAGCCGCTATAGGGTTAAATCTCGGACTGACCTGTTGGCAAAGCCACAAACAAGTCCCAGCTTAGAGGGCACAGTCGTTTTAAGCATAATTGGGCTTGACCTTAGGCTGCTCCCTAGATCTTACCTGGGAAGCTAATGGGCTGAGGGAAGTGCAGCAAAAACAAGAACAAAAAGAAGTGAAACTCACAAAAACAGTGTAAACAAGTGAAACTCACAAGAACAGTGTAACTATGGTAACCACTACCTTGTTTACCTCTGACTATAAAATAAAGGCTCAGCTTGCCTCAGGATCTTTTTCTGTGGCCTCAGGCAGGCACAGGAAGATCCACGGAGACTAAAGAGAGCTAGAGAGTTCTGAACGCCGTCTCCAGTTCTGAACGCTGTCTCCGTGTAAAACATTCTTTGCCGACTCCGTCCACACCTTTGGGAACCCCTGGACCGCTGGGGCTGGACCCTGGCATTCACTCTGGACTACACCACGACAGACCTGAAAGTCCATATATATCCCCCACCATCCATTAACACCTAAAATCCACATGTGCTGGAGAAGTTAGAACAACTAAATACAACTGTAGCAACTTTTAGATTTTATTTTGAGACAAAACCAAAATTACAGAACAGTTGCAAGTACAGGATGACAACAGAGGCTTGTTCTCAAACCATTTGAAAGTTGCCAACCTGACCCTTCATCACCACCCTCTGTCATACTTTAATTTTTATTTTCTACAAAAACATTCTCCTACATAAACACAATGCAACTATCAAATCAGGAAATTAACATTGGTACGTTACCACCATCCCCAGATCCTATTCAATATCTGCCAATTATTCCAGTAGCTCCCTTTGTAGAAGGACCCAGCTGACAGGTGTCTGTAGTCCCTCCTTTAACCTCAAATAGCTCCTCAGTGTGTCTTTGGCTTTCGTGACCCGTACACTTGGGAAGATTACAGCCAGTTTTTCATAGTGTCCTTGAGTTTGAGTTTGCCTAATGTTTTCTTGTGATTCATTTGTAAACTTTGGCAGAAATCATAGCAGTGATGCCGGGTTCTTTCTTTAGCATTCTATTGGGTGGCACAAGAATTCGATTTGTGACACTACTTAGGGTGCTCATTTTGGTCACTTGATTAAAATCATGGCTGCAAGTATTCTCCATTGTAAAGTTAATCTACTTTCCTTCACAATGAATGAATATCTGTTTGGTGTTACGTTTGTGCAGATAAAGGCGCCATGTAATAAACCTGGCAGGCTCAGGGGGGTTGGGGCACATGGCAGGCCTGATGAGCTCAGTGGCCCAGAGCAACCACAGGGAATGGTCAGTTAACAAACTCCTCACTGGGCAGGCCATGATGAGTAGTCATGTTCCAAGCCCATAGCTTCCTTTGCAAAGGTCAATCTTTACCTTAAGTTACTTCTGTCCATTGTTTTTATGCATCTTCTAGGATGACATACCTTTGAAATGTCTGAGTAATGTTCTTTTCTTGACCTCTCTATGGTACAACCACAGGCCGAAGAACACAAGACCGCCAGAGCATGAGACCACAGAACCCCTCATGGTTATCCCGTTGCTCAAATACCATCTCTATGTGCTGTAAATGTTAAATGTTAACTGTCCTGCACCCACTAATGTAAAAGAAGTATTGTTTTTTTCATTTCGCTTTTTATCCCATCCCAGAGAGCTTCCTGCTTTGCTTCCTCCCATCTCCTTAATCTACCACCAGTGGTAAACTGATGTTCCTTACATTTTCTCCTTTGATTCATTCTAAATGCATACAGGGAAATGCAAACTGCCGTTCTCGGGAGCATATTCTCAATCCTTTGAGATCTTGCTTCCAATCATGTCCTTAAAATTTCGACTCAAATAAATTCCTATAAAACTTTTCTATAGGCTGCACATTCTTTCATCAACACTTTGAACCTAGGTAAATATCCTTTCCCGTATCAAATGTTTAGTTAATTAATTAATTAATTCATTTTTATAATATGGACGCACAGATTCTCAATTTTTGAATGGGTTATTATCCACTATTATCATTTACTTTGATGCTTAAATTGTTCTAAGCTTTTTAGTGGGAGCCCCTTCAAAATAGCTTCTGTGCCTTTAGTTACATCTTCATCATTCTGCGAGCACTTTCTCATCTTGTTTTTGTTTTTGTTTGTTTTGTGTGTGTTTTTGTTAATCTTCACCAAGGACATTTTTCCATTGATTTTCAGGGAGAGAGGAAGAGAGAGGGAAAGACAGAGAGAAATATCCACGTGAGAGAAGCACATCGATTGGTTGCCTCCTGGATGAGCCCCACCAGGGCCCAGGTTGGGGAGCAGCCTGCAACCAAGGTACATGCCCTTGACCAGAATCAAACCCGGGACCCTTTGGTCCACAGGCCGACATTCTATCCACTGAGCAAAACTGGCCAGGGTCACTTTCTCATCTTGTACTTTTCCTGCCTCAGTTCTGGTTTCTTTTAGGTGAGAATTTAGAAACCACAATCTGGAGCTAAGTATGCTCTTTGCTGTTGGGGTGTTGTTGCTATTAAGCTCTTTTAGTAGACAGAACTTGAGAATATATGTATGTACACATATGCATACACACATATACATATTTATATCTACATGTATTTCTTTATCTATCTCTTTGTATTGAAAGTTAGTTCACACCAATACCTCCCACTCCAATCTAACACCACTGGGTTAATTCCATTTTTGTAACCCCCTTCTTTGTTGTTAACAAACTGATTTCTCATTATTCGTAATATATTTACCTATTTGATCAACTACCCTTCTTGATTGTAGCCAAGTTCCCATTGAGGTAAACCCTTCCCTTGAACTGATGGCCCCCCCAAACTCACACAGGTTCTGACACCTCATGCTAGCCTGCACCCCTACAGTGATTGAGGTCCGACATGCCATGCTTGAACACCTTCCTGTGGATGCATACCTTGCTCTGTACCAACTAATGGCTTTATGATAGAATTGTTTGGGAAGGGAAGGGAAAGGAAAAAAGAAGAGAAAGGAAGGAAAGAGAAAGGGGAGGGGAAGAGGTAGAAGGAAACTGAGAATTTTTTTTTTTAGAACATATACCCTTCATAGAAATATATAAAATTATTTGAGTTATTATTATAACTGTACAGAGTGTATAGATGGATAATGCCTTTGTTATTAATGCCTTATAGTAGTACAGGAGAATATATTAGGATTTATCTAATTTTTATAAAACTTAATTTTTGCTTTATAAAATCATACATTTCATAAGGGGCCAGAGGCTCATTTTTACTTTTAACAAGATGCCACCAATATTTAGGAAACTGCCTAAGCTATGCTCATGAAAATTTTCCAAGGTTAGGTATTAAGTCTGGCAATTGCCTTCTTTGCTCCCACTGTGTAAGTACAACATTTTATTTATGGCTCTGGGCAGAGTCCAAAAGGACATGCATATTTTGCATGAACAACTAGGCACCAAATTTTCAGAAACTGGCCTGCATGTTCTCCTAAGTGCCCAGAGCCAAACAAGTGCTGTGTCTGACAGAGCTCAGCAGGGGAGCAGGGAGAGGACCAGGCTCACTAGAAACACCCTGGTGTTTCTGGAACTCTGATGAAAAGTGTGGGGGCTGGGCACCCCAGATTAGAAACTCTGCAAAGAAGAAAGCCAGTCCGGAATAACTCAGTACACCGTCAATAGACCCCAGGCCGGTTTTGGTTTTCGGCAGTTCCACAGCAAATAAGACAGGATTTCAAATGGAAGAAACATATCCAGAGGTACTTTCAGATTTTGTGAGCCTGAAGTGTATAAAACGTGGGGAAGCTTCTTTAAAATACATACATTAAAAAGCATAATTAGATATTTCTTTAAAGGGGCCCCTGCAAGGAAGAGGCCCTGAAATCGAAACTTCATCTGCTTTAAGGTTGATCTATCTGAGGAGGCACCTTTCACCCTCTGTGGGGCCGAGAGGCACGATGACCAAAAGGAGAAGGGTGTTTGGAATGGCTGATGGTGATGAAGGTGAGAGGGGGCATGATTTTTAACAGCTACCATGAATTCCATTTGGCAAACTGAAAAGTAATGTTCCATTTTATATAAATAATTTTACTTTCATATTTCCTAAACTGACATTTCAGATTTGGTGAACTACTTTTCGGTTGTCCATATAGGTCAATGCTTACCAAAGCAGGCATTTATAATTGGCAGCGTTGGAAGCATGTTTAAAGATGAATTAGTT